TTGAATGAAACAAATGAGCAAACAAGTAAATTCTGCAGAGTCAGGAGATAATGCTGAGTTCGCTTCTTCTCTGGTGGCGGCATGATATAATTCGTTTATTAATAAAAACTCATCATGTATGCAAAATCCTTACTCATTTTCTTGTTAGTTTAACACTAGCCTATTTATCGGGAAAATTGCCGCAATTTCTTATTATACATCACTGAAAAAGCAGCTTTTATTAATAACAATTTTCCTTAACTAGAACAAAAATACTGTCTCTCGACACGTAGTTCGTTAACCAACTTAGCATCTCGGGCGTGAGAAACAGACCAGGACTGAACCTTCAAAAATGGTAAAAAGTGGAAAAAAAATAATAGTAGTGAAACCCATCAGAAAAGGACCCTAAGTTTCAATCTAAAATTCTCGCGTCAAAATATCAGCTTTTTTTCAAAAAGTCGCTGTGCTTTCTGTTCGTTGAAATCTCTACTTTCTGATGGTGTAAATAAAAATACATTACTATAGTAAATGTTCTCAGAAAATGCAAAAAATCGAATTCGAATTTTTTAAAATCATTATGTACAATGTTGAACTATTTATTAAAATTTACACTTTAATTACTCAAAAATCGTATGCTAATAAAGTTAATATTCAATTAGACATCTACAATATTTTGAGAAAGTTGTAGAATCTTCTTTAAATAATATTTGTAGATGCCTATTCATTGCTGTTTTAAATAATTTATACCTACGGTCACTCATGTATTTCATTTCACTATGAAAAAAAGTTAGATGGCGAAGTTGTAGGTAATAAAAAGATCTACAACTTTTGTATTTACAGTTTTTTCACATAACCGCAAAATTAACGTGAAAAATTCAAACAACCAAGTTTTTGGTTTTTTATTTTTATATTTTTCAAAAAAATTCTACGAAATTTGCTGAAAACTTATTTTTTTATGTCCCAAATACATTGTCATTTATTTGATTTGAAATATTAATTTTTTCACCTCATTTTGAGTTAATATCAAAAAAGCACCCTAATTTTCAATCGAAAATTCTCGCGTCAAAATATCAGCTTTGTTTCAAAAAGTCGCTGTGCTTTCTGTTCGTTGAAATCTCTACTTTCTGATGGTGTAAANGAGATATAGAAACGCGGAGGGGAAAATATAGGTATCATACAGCTGCACGCGTTAAACTTTATCAACGAATTTTTGTTATTTCGGGTTGCAGAAATCGTCAGATTATATATTTTTCTTTATCCTTGAATTATTTCCTTCAGAATAAAAAAAAATCAGATACGCTCGAGAATGTCGAAATTACGTTATTTTTTTACAACTGTGCTGCCCTCCCCTTTCTTTACGTCACTATCCAATTGTCAGATTACTGGAATAAACACTTTTTAGCAAGTGATCAACTCACCCTACCTTAATCTGACGCGCTCGAAAATTTCTGATGAACAATTCTTTTTTACTAATCTGATCCTTTATCCTTCACGGGCGGTCTTATATATAAAGCTCATATTTGGTGGATGTACTTAACCGAGTACAAGGCATTCCCCTGTATATTAATCTGCCGCGCTTTAGTAAATTCTGAAATTCCCGCTTGCGCTCCCCTATCATACGTATGCTGGTAGAACTACTTTTATCATTGTCATTGGTGAAAATTTTGGTGAGTTCCATGCAATAACCATGACGCACAATACAAGTCTGGAGTGTCGTTTAAAAGTTATATGTTTTTATCTATCGCTTCAGAAAATTCATATTCGAATCTCAACATGAAATCAAATGACCGAAACGATTTGAAATTAATTCTATTTGGGATTTGGAAAAATTACTCTGTCTGTTTGATAATGATAATAATCGTCTTTATTGTAGACAAATGGAACATTGACAGAAACAAATAGGTATAGTTGTTTATATTTGAAGAAAATTGCTGAGTTCAATCTATGCCAGAAGAGTGCTGTCATAGGCTTCTCTTTCACTAAACCCCAAAAATACCCTATTACGTAATTTCTTCAGTATTCTTGTATGGACCATCATTTAAATTATGAATATGAAGATTGCTATAAACTTTCCTATTCATGAAAATGATTTTTGTCGCCATTTTGAAACTCATTAATATTAGTTTTTCATATCCGTGAAAAGGGAATTCTACATTTCACAAATTTGAAAAAAATTAACGCTTAGAGTTCGACAGAAACTGGTTTTTATGACCGAAACCGAAACCGAATTTTGGGAACGGCCTCATTTCGCCCGAAACCGAAACTTCTTTACAAGGATTATGTTTTGAGGAAAAAATAAAGAAATCGTTATAATCAGTCAGTCTTTATTTTTTCATCTTTAAACTTAATATTTATGTAATAAACAAAGTAAATCACAAAGTGAGTCACTACATGATTAATTAGGCACGTGGACGCGGCAAAATGTCTTTGTCGCTTGTATGAAATTCAACGCGCCAAACATGACCGATGACAGCGCGAGAAATCCCGAATGCAGTTTCGGTTTCGGTCGTAATTTCGGCAGGTTTGCCGCCGAAACCTACACTAAACCGAAACCCGTTTCTTTGCCGAAACTCAACCGAAACCGAACTTTCGGTGGCACACTAGTTCGCTCCTAATTTTGCTGGTGTTGAATTACCTTTATACATTTAGATTATAGACAACACTAAGGAATGTTAATTTACCATGAAAATAACTTGGTTTTTCAGTTGAAATAAATTTATGAAATAAGCATCTTGTAATGATCTTCATTGATTTATATGGAACCAATTTGCTGATACTAGTTTATGAGATATTCTGCGGATTCCATATACAAATATCAAACCCAAATTTCAGATACTAGAAGGAGAAAAAACATGCTTAGTACCGTTCAAAGTCTTCTAATTATCCTATTTGGATGAGTCATATGCATTTCAAATTTCAATTCAATATCTGATATAATTTTCTGATTATTTGTTCAATTCACTAGTGTTAACACCTACTTATCTATAGTTATATCTATTTCATCATGTATTATATTATTTGTTTGATTCGTTAGTATTAACACCTAGTTATCTATAGTTATATATATATTTCATCATGTATTATATTATTTTTCCTCGATTTACTTGTATGGATCTTAAAATAATGAGATGAGGCCGCTTCTGCGTATCATTCTGCGTATCATCTGCATAATAGTGAATTGAGCAATGATTTCGTAATGACATATACAAGGTACAGAAAAGTGGGTCAAGAATTGAGCCTTGTGGTGCACCTGATCTGATCCTCATAGTTGTAGAGTATATGTTGTCAGTACATATCGTTTATTTCCGGTCAAATAGGTTGATATCAAATAACTTCATTGCATAAATGAACCCATATGATGTGAAATAGTGAATAACAATGAATGATTCAATGACCCAATGAAATCATTCACTATAAGCAGAATAGCTTTGATACAACTAGGACCTTCCGTATTAAATTTCAGGAAATAAATAGTTATTGAGATGTTCTTTTAATTGATATACTATAGCTCTTTCGAATCATGGTAAGGATCCTTCAAACGATACAAAATGCGACTCTGATCACTAAAGGAAAGACCATTACATTTACCTACTTCAATTATTGATAGATCAAAAAAATGATTATTGTGGAAAAATTATTTGACCTTCCTGTATCAGTAGACCTGCCTGTGTAAGTATGACTTCATTTGATTTTATATCAGTCAGTTGCAGAACAGATCCAGAGAAATGATCATGTTGGTTGAATCCAAGCGTTACAACTAATCAAAATTCATATAGTAATGAATAAAGTCATTATTCAAACTAACATGTCTTCAATTTCATGGAAGCCACACCCATAACAATATTTTTCAACTTACCGTCGCAACTCCCATGAGAGTTCGAATGCAGTGAGGATGGGATCTTTGGAAGAAAGAGCAATCAGAGATGGTGATGCAAGTGCCCGATATGCATTGATTCGACTCCTGGAGTGACGAAGAGAGTCTTCCATTCGGGAGGTAACACATTCATCGCATCCGCATCTGAAATAAAAGTC